TTTCCCTGGGTATTTGTATATTATCTTGCTTGTTCTCAACCTTTTACACTCTGCTATCCGGGTGCTTTCAGATGCAGCTTGTCTCTAAGATCTTGTCTTCCTGCAGTGTAAACCCCATTCTGCTCAAACTGCACAGGGTGACTGGAAATCTTGGTGGGCACTGGTGTAGCTGTCCCCACAGTTGGGCAGCTGGTGTGCAAAGCAGGGCCCTTCTGCAGTATGGGCTTTTGAGTGTCGTGAGGACTTGGGTTAGGAGCAAATCCTCATGTGGATGCTTGATTTTGCAGTGAAAATAGATATTCTTTTTATCAGCTCTATCAATGGCTGGCTGAGAAACCCCCAGCCCAAACACCCTCAAATGTACATGTTTTGCTCTAAAGATTTTGCCCTAAGTTCACATTCTGTGACTGGCCCCTAAGAGTCTTTGGAAAGATGTGTGCTGGAAGCTGCTCCTCGCACTGCTTTCAGTGCCCAGCAGCAGCTCCCTGGTGAGTGCTGATAGTGAAGCCACTGGCAAAGTGTTTTATTTGCAGGTGGTCCACTGGGGGAAAGGTCATTCATGTGGCAGCCTCCTCCTCACACAGAGCAGTGACAACCTGCTGGTGGCCTTGAATTCCCTTGGTACTGTCTTGTGCAACAAAAAGGTGTATTAACAAAAGCTGTGTGCGAATACAGTAATGCTGACTGGGGTGGTGGGTGCCTCTGCTGAGCATGGCTTGTCCATGCTGCTTCAATCTCCAGCATGTGGCAGGTGTGTGCAGGTCTCTGTCCATGAACTTGAGCTTGAACTGTCACACTCCTGTCACTCCTCTGTCACCAAGGTGCAGTTGGGTTGCTGTTGACCCATGCCAGGGTAAGGAAGAGGGAGTGGAATGGGTAAAGGTGTCTGGCCAACCTATCAGTTTCCTAGACCTGTTGGTCCTAACCTGGTACTTCTGTTTTTGGTGCTTAAACCTTTTGAAAATGTCATACCAGTTTGTGTGTCTGTCAGGAAGTCTCAGTGGCCACAGGGCTGCCATCAGGGGAAGCTGGACTCCCCTATTGTCTGTGCCCTGCTGGAGTTGTTAGAGGTGTCTGGAGAGGCGTTTGAGAGCAGCATGGACAGTGTCAGCTTCACAGCCCTGGCTCAGAGGGTTGTT